AAAAAATCGAAGCTAAAGTACATAACTAAGTTGTTGTGTACGATTATTTAACGATAAACTTTAATGAATCATCATTTTTTACTTTAATGAACAACAACTTTATGTACAAAATTTAAATACTAAGTTATGCAACCCAAATATCATCTGCGCTATATTTATTTCTTTATTAAGAATTAATCATAATACAAGTTTTACTTTAATTTCAAAAATGAATTCATTGTGTCGATTAAAATCTTCGTACACTCTTTTAATTGGGACTCGTTAATGACCAAAGGAGGTGCTAATCTTATTATATAACCATGCGTGTTTTTAGCTAATAAGCCATTATCCTTCAATTTTTTGCAAACGTCTAAAGCGGTAAATGTAGGAGTTTCTTTTATAACTATAGCCGTCATCATTCCTTTTCCTCGAACCTCCTTTACGAGTTCTTTCGGTAACTTTTTTAAATCCTCCACAAGAATTTTCCCCAATTTTTCCGCGTTTTCAATCATTTTTTCGTCAATTAAAGTTTTTAACGATGCTATCGCAACTTTACAAGCTAAGGGATTTCCGCCGTAAGTTGAACCGTGTTCTCCTGGCTTCATACAAAGCATTATTTCATCGTCTGCAAGAACCGCAGAAATCTAAAAATAAATAAATTAATAAAAGTGTTTTATTAAATATTAGAATTTTTACGGCCATCATTCCTCCCGATAAAGCTTTTCCTAAACAAACTATATCCGGGCGAACATTTTCGTGGTGAACCGCCAATAATTTTCCGGTTCTCCCCAAACCAGTTTGGACTTCATCATCAATCCATAAAACGTTGTATTTCGTACAAATTTCTCTAACTTTTTTTAAATAACCCGGTTTAGGGACGACGATTCCAGCTTCACCTTGAATCGGCTCAACCATAAAAGCACAAATATTCGGATCATTTCTTAAAGTTTCTTCTAAAACTTTCTCATCATCGTAAGGAATAACAATAAATCCAGGCATGAAAGGGCCATAACGATCTCGACAAGTTGGATCGGTCGATGATGAAATCGCCGCCATAGTTCTTCCCCAATAATTTCCTTCGGCAAAAACAATTTTTGCTTGATCGTTTGGAATATTCTTTTTTAAGTAGCCCCATTTTCTTGCTAATTTACAAGCGGTTTCGCCAGCTTCGACTCCGGTATTTATGGGAAGAACTTTATCGTAATCGAAAAGTTTTGTTATAAACTCGGCGTATTCACCTAACGCATCGGTAAAAAAAGCTCTTGAAGTTAATGTTAAGATATCAACTTGTTTTTTGAGAGCTTCGGTTATTTTTGGATGACAATGACCTTGATTTACCGCTGAATAAGCGCTGAGGAAATCGTAATATTTTTTTCCTTCTGCATCCCACACAAAAACGCCTGAAATTAAAACGTCAAAATGACATATTTGAATTGTTAAAATGACAAATTTGAAATGTCAAAATGACATATTTAAAACGTCGAATTTAAATATTAATTTTTTGTAATAATTTATTTTTATATTTATATTATTATTGGATTTTGGTTTAATTTTTAATATTTATTAATCATTAATTAATAAAACTCCTATAGATAAAAATAATTAAAATAAATTTATGAAAAAAAAATTATGTAAAGTTGGTTGCCTACTTCTGAATACAAAATATAATATACAATAATCTAGCGCTGAATAACAAATAAAACTATACTAACATTAGAACTCACACTAGACCTAGAATATCTCGAACGATTATATCTCATGAAATAGTTATACCAACCTAAATAAGTCAAAAAGTGAATATTTTGAAAAATGACGTTTTTGACATAAAAACTGATAATATCTCAGGAATAAAAAGAGGTAGGAGAAAGTGATTAGGACAAAAAATGTTCTTCATTAACCTGAGGAACATATGTCATAAACGGTTATATCTCATGAATTAGTTATACCAACCTAAATAAGTCAAAAAGCGAATATTTCGAAAAATGACGGTTTTGACGTAAAAATTGATATCTCAAGAATAAAAAGAGTTGGGAGAAAGTGAGTAGGACAAAAAATGTTCTTCATTAACCTGGGGAACATATTTCATAAACGATTATATCTCAGAAAATAGTTATACCAACCTAAACTAGTCAAAAACCGAATATTTCGAAAAGTGACGTTTTTGACGTAAAAATTGATGATATCTCAAGAATAAAAAGAGGTAGGAGAAAGTGATTAGGACAAAAAATGTTCTTCATCAACCTGAGAAACATATTTCCTAACGGTTATATCTCATGAATTAGTTATACCAACCTAAATAAGTCAAAAAGCGAATATTTCGAAAAATGACGTTTTTGACGTAAAAATTGATATTTCTCAAGAATAAAAAAAGTTGGGAGAAACTGATTAGAACAAAAAATTTTCTTCATTAACCTGAGGAACATATTTCATAAACGGTTATATCTCATGAAATAGTTATACCAACCTAAATAAGTCAAAAAGTGAATATTTGGAAAAATGACATTTTTGACATAAAAATTGATATCTCAAGAATAAAAAGAGTTGGGAGAAAGTGATTAGGAAAAAAAATGTTCTTCATTAACCTGGCGAACATATTTCATAAACGATTATATCTCATGAAATAGTTATACCAACCTAAATAAGTCAAAAACCGAATGTTTCGAAAAGTGACGTTTTTGACGTTAAAATTGATGATATCTCAAGAATAAAAAGAGTTGGGAGAAAGTGATTAGGACAAAAAGTGTTCTTCATTAACCCGAGCAATATATTTCATAAACGATTATATCTCATGAATTAGTTATACCAACCTAAATAAGTCAAAAACCGAATGTTTCGAAAAGTGACGTTTTTGACGTTAAAATTGATATTTCTCAAGAATAAAAAGAGTTGGGAGAAAGTGATTAGGACAAAAAATGTTCTTCATTAACCTGGGAAACATATTTCATAAACGGTTATATCTCATAAATTAGTTATACCAACCTAAATAAGTCAAAAAGCGAATATTTTGAAAAATGACATTTTTGACATAAAAATTGATATCTCAAAAATAAAAACAGTTGGGAGAAAGTGATTAGGACAAAAAATGTTCTTCATTAACCTGGGGAACATATTTTATAAACGGTTATATCTCATGAATTAGTTATACTAACCTAAATTAGGCAAAAAGCGAATATTTTGAAATGTGACGTTTATGACGTAAAAATTGATAATATCTCAAGAATAAAAAGAGATGGGAGAAAGTGATTAGGACAAAAAATCTTCTTCATTAACCTGGGGAACATACTTCATAAACGGTTATATCTCATGAATTAGTTATACCAACCTAAATAAGTCAAAAAGTGAATATTTGGAAAAATGACATTTTGGACATAAAAATTGATATCTCACGAATAAAAAGAGATGGGAGAAAGTAATTAAGACAAAAAATGTTCTTTGTTAACCTTAAAAACACAATTCATAAACGATTATATTCCTTCGCTCAGTTATACCAAACTAAATAAATCAAAAACGAAAGGAAAATTGATCTCAGGAATAGAAAGAAATGAGGTAAAGTGATTCAAACAGAAAATTTTCTTAGTTAATTAAGAAAACGAAGTTTATTAATTAATGATTAATAAATATTAAATATTAAATCAAAATCCAATAACAATATAAAAATAAATTATTGCAACAAATTAATATTTAGATTTGACGTTTCAAATATGTCATTTTCAATATTTTATGCTAACTAGCACTATTAAGAAGTAGGCAACCAACTTTACACGATTTTTTTTTCATAAATTTATTTTAATTAATAGGAATTTTATTAATTAATGATTAATAAATATTAAAAATTAAACCAAAATGCAATAATAATATAAATACAAAAATAAATTATTCCAAAAAATTAATATTTAAATTCGACGTTTCAAATATTATGTCATTTTGACATTTCAAATATGTCAAAAAATTATACTAGCAAAATTCGAGATGTTTATTTAAAACTGACCAATAGCAACCTTTCTTTTTGGCGCTTAAATTTGAAAAAACTCCCCCGAATGAAAAAAAGAAAGTATAATTCTATATTACCTTTTCCTTTTGTTAAAGCAACCGGTAATGGTTCATAATTATCTGCAGCAAATCGATCTTCTCTTGCAATAATTTCTTGTGTCGTTAAACATCTCAATCCATTTCTATAAATGTTTCTTATTAATTTAGGATTTCTTAGGAACATTTTTCTCTTTTAATTTTAACATGAGTCGTTGAATGAGGATAAAATACTTTTGAAGTGCTTCGATTCAAATAGGTCAACACTGGGAAATGCAATACGTATTTTGCAATAAAGGTGTGAATTATTTAGGAAAGTTTACTTGGTAAATAAGACTTATTCTTATTATATATACTTTATTTTTCTTGGTACTAAAACTTGTTTTTTAAATTCTAAATGAATTTATAGTTTTTAATAGAATATTGGTGCAAACTTTTAATTGAACTTCCGTCATCACTAAAGGTGGTGCTAATCGGATGATATCTCCGTGAGTTGGTTTAGCTAAAAGGCCATTATCTCTTAGTTTAATACAAACATCGGTGGCTGTAAATCCAACTTCTAAAAATAGAATTGTTTAATTACTTTTTAAAATTTCTTTTAACGTTTTACTTTCGTTAATAACGATAGCACACATCAATCCTTTCCCTCTAACTTCGCAAACTAGTTCTTTAGGTAATTTTTTTAAATCCTCCATTAAAATGTTGCCTAATTTTTTAGCGTTTTCACATAAATCTTCTTCTAAAATTACTTTTAAAGCAGCTGTTGCAACTTTACAAGATAAGGGATTTCCGCCATAAGTTGAGCCATGCTCGCCCGGTTTTATACAAAGGATGGTTTCATCGTCGGCAAGAACCGCGGAAATCTAGAAATAAATAAATTAATAAAAATGTTTTATTAAACATTAGAATTTTTACGGCCATCATTCCTCCCGATAAAGCTTTTCCTAAACAAACTATATCCGGGCGAACATTTTCGTGGTGAACCCCCAATAATTTTCCGGTTCTTCCCAAACCTGTTTGGACTTCATCATCAATCCATAAAACGTTGTATTTCGTACAAATTTCTCTAATTCTTTTTAAATAACCCGGTTTAGGGACGACGATTCCAGCTTCACCTTGAATCGGCTCAACCATAAAAGCACAAATATTCGGATCATTTTTTAAAGTTTCTTCTAAAACTTCTTCATCATCGTATGGAATAACAATAAATCCAGGCATGAAAGGACCATAACAATCCCGACAAGTTGGATCGGTCGATGATGAAATCGCCGACATTGTTCTTCCCCAATAATTTCCTTCGACAAAAACAATTTTTGCTTGATCGTTTGGAATCTTCTTCTTTAAGTAACCCCATTTCCTCGCTATTTTACAAGCGGTTTCGCCGGCTTCAACCCCACTATTTATCGGGAGAATTTTGTCATATCCAAAAAGTTTTGTTATAAACTCGGCGTATTCACCCAAAGCGTCGGTAAAAAAAGCCCTCGAAGTTAATGTTAAGGTATCAACTTGTTTTTTAACAGCTTCCGTTATTTTCGGGTGACAATGTCCTTGATTTACCGCTGAATAAGCACTAAGAAAATCGTAATATTTTTTTCCTTCGACATCCCATACAAAAACACCTATATATAAACAAACGTCAAATTTGAAGTTTCAGAAACGTCAAAGTGACGTTTAATAAATTAATTATGTTACCAACTTAATTTACCTTTTCCTTTTGTTAAAGCAACTGGAATTGGATCATAATTGTGAGCACCAAATTTTTTTTCTCTCTCAATAACATCTTTAGTTTGATTAGAATTGATTTTCTCTAATTTCTGGATACCGTTTTGAAGGAAGTTTTTGTTAATTATGCATTGAGACATCTTCAGTTTAATCTCTTCCTTTTTGACTTAGTGCAATATTGATGATTAAATTGAGAGTACACTCGGTATTTTATACCCTAGGTTAAACCGTATTGAATCCTTTATTATCTTTTAATCCAGGTCATAGGTTGCAATTATTTTCTTTGTTTTAACAAACTTCCTTTGGTTATTTTCCGTTGAAAGTGTTTTAAACAATAAGAATTTAGGTCGGGGTTAATTTTATTAATTAAAATTAGCATCATAAATATTACTAACATATTTTCACTCAATTTAATTAACAAATAAATTCTAATAAATAAAATGAATAACTTCTTTTTCGGTAATCGGTATTTCTTTTGTGTTTAAATTTAACAAAGCTATTTTAAAACGGAAAGATTAGATTAAGTGCGTAAAGAAGTAAATCATGTTAAGCAACTCGTGTTATTTTTGTATTAGATAACGTTGTGCTCCCATTCAGAAATTAACGAGACCTTCTTTCTTAAAATAATGAGAAATAAATCAACACGTGATTGTTATCCTTCGTTATCCTCGTTTTGCGATGATAAAAAAGGATTTATTCCAGTAGGAAATTTCCAAGTAAACACAACAAGATATTTTTGTGAAGATTTACAGCGGAAATTTCCGAGTAAATAAAACGTGGAGTCGTTATCTCTTCGTTCGTNTAAGGTATCAACTTGTTTTTTAACAGCTTCCGTTATTTTCGGGTGACAATGTCCTTGATTTACCGCTGAATAAGCACTCAAAAAATCGTAATATTTTTTTCCTTCGACATCCCATACAAAAACACCTATATATAAACAAACGTCAAATTTGAAGTTTCAGAAACGTCAAAGTGACGTTTAATAAATTAATTATGTTACCAACTTAATTTACCTTTTCCTTTTGTTAAAGCAACTGGAATTGGATCATAATTGTGAGCACCAAATTTTTTTTCTCTCTCAATAACATCTTTAGTTTGATTAGAATTGATTTTCTCTAATTTCTGGATACCGTTTTGAAGGAAGTTTTTGTTAATTATGCATTGAGACATCTTCAGTTTAATCTCTTCCTTTTTGACTTAGTGCAATATTGATGATTGAATTGAGAGTACACTCGGTATTTTATACCCTAGGTTAAACCGTATTGAATCCTTTATTATCTTTTAATCCAGGTCATAGGTTGCAATTATTTTCTTTGTTTTAACAAACTTCCTTTGGTTATTTTCCGTTGAAAGTGTTTTAAACAATAAGAATTTAGGTCGGGGTTAATTTTATTAATTAAAATTAGCATCATAAATATTACTAACATATTTTCACTCAATTTAATTAACAAATAAATTCTAATAAATAAAATGAATAACTTCTTTTTCGGTAATCGGTATTTCTTTTGTGTTTAAATTTAACAAAGCTATTTTAAAACGGAAAGATTAGATTAAGTGCGTAAAGAAGTAAATCATGTTAAGCAACTCGTGTTATTTTTGTATTAGATAACGTTGTGCTCCCATTCAGAAATTAACGAGACCTTCTTTCTTAAAATAATGAGAAATAAATCAACACGTGATTGTTATCCTTCGTTATCCTCGTTTTGCGATGATAAAAAAGGATTTATTCCAGTAGGAAATTTCCAAGTAAACACAACAAGATATTTTTGTGAAGATTTACAGCGGAAATTTCCGAGTAAATAAAACGTGGAGTCGTTATCTCTTCGTTCGTACAAGCACCTCTTTTTATATTTATATTTTTTTTCATTCTTTTAATCTAAAATTATCAAGTTTAAAAGAATTAAGGTTAAGTTATACGTCAGATTTGACAATTTTATGAAACGTTAAATTTTTAACATTAAATTTTAATTATTAGATAAAATATTACATTTTGATAACCTACCTTCAGCAAAATAAGATTAAAAATGTGTAAAATAAAATAATTATAAATGTTGAGGTTAGATTTAAAATGTTATTATTAATTGACATTTGACATAACCTCGTCTTGATCGCTGATTTTATTTAATCGTTCATTTTCTGATAAAATTTGTTACATTTACTTTTCGATTTCACTCAATTAAATTGATGTATTGTTGGTTTTACCTTACTTATAACTTCAAGGTACTATATCAAAATGTAATTCTTTTTGCAAAATTAAGTTGGTAATACGCATTTCAATATTGACATATAATAGATCCGATTTTTGAAATACAAAAAATTTTTAAATGGAATATGAAGATTATATTGTAGTTGTAAGTACTGGAACAATCCAATTTGACCAAATATGAAATACAAAAAAAAAAATTAGGGTTATGTATGACGTTTCGTTTGACATTTCAAATCTTGATACGATTTGTGTCGTTATTTAATCAAAAATCGTAAGAAATAACAATAAATCTAGGCATGACGATCTCGCTATAGTTCTTCCCCAATAATTTCCTTCGGCAAAAACAAGCTTCGGTTATTTTTGGATGACAATGACCTTGATTTACGGCTGAATAAGTGCTGAGGAAATCTATATCGATATATTTGAATTCTCAAAATGACATATTTGAAATGTCAAAATGATATATTTGAAACGTCAAATTTAAATATTAATTTTTTGTAATAATTTATTTTTATATTTATATTATTATTGGATTTTGGTTTAATTTTTAATATTTATTAATCATTAATTAATAAAATTTCTATTAATTAAAATAAATTTATGAAAAAAAAATCGTGTAAAGTTGGTTGCCTACTTCTTAATACGGAGAAGCTCAATAAAAATATACAATCATCTAGCTCTGAATAACAGATAAAATTATACTAACATTAGAACTGACACTAGACTTAAAACTAGAAACATTCCGTTTAGCTGTACCTCTCGCTAGTTAGCATAAAATATCACTATGTTCCAGATTTTTATTGATCTAAAACTAGAACGAGAACTAGAAGCATTCGGGTTTAGTAGTGAAATAAACTTTCAGTTGTCAATGTCAACTTTAATTTTATTATGTTCGTAATCTTCATAAAATAACCTGTAAAGTGAGTCCAGACTTGACACATTTATCTCATAAAACCAAAAAGTTCGAACTTAAAACTTTTAATTTTGACATATTTGTCAACTTCATAAAAAATCCTTTAAAATGAGTCCAAACTCGACATATTTAACTTTAATATTAATGGAAATAC